GACACCTGATGTTTGACTGATTGAATGAGTGCTGTTGTCTGTGAAGATGACTATGGGAGAAAAGTAGTGATTTAGGGGTGGGATGAGTGTGAGACTATAGAAGATACTGGGAGAATTGTCATTAGGTGTTGGGCTTATGGAACTAGAGCAGGGGAGAATGATGGAGATAGATATGAAGTAATAATTATATGTGTGTGTGTATATATATATAGAGAGAGAAATAATGGAGATGAATATGAGTTAGATATGAAATAATAATTATATGTGTGTGTGTGTGTGTGTGTGTGTGTGAGAGAGAGAGAGAGAGAGAGAGAGAGAGAACGTGCGAGAGAGAAATATCTGGACTGGAGATACTGATTAACGTTATCAGTTTGAGGTCGATATCCAAATGTGTGGACTCATATGAACTTTTCCAAGGAGAATGCCTAGAATGAAAAGGAATATCTGAGTTAGAATCCCAGGAATGACACACCACAAGAACAGAAGGATGGAGCACAGTAAAGAAGACTGAATGGAGTAATCTGGGAGACTGCGGTAGAATGAAAATAGATGGGTGTGTAGCCATGTAGGAACAAAGTCTGAAGGAGAAAGGAGAATCAATACCGTTAGAGTCTTCAGAGAAGACCAGTAAGCAGGCTGTGGATCGAACACTAGGAGGGCATCAGGGATCTTAGCAGATTTAGTGGAGAAATTCAGGCTAGTGAAACCAGATTGGGATGGGTTGATAGGATGAGAAGTGAGTGATAAGTGCAGAAGTGGGGGCTGCGAGGCTGGACGACTCTCCATAAGTAGACACATTTATCTGTGAGTATAGTGGTGAAGAGAAGAAAGACAGGTGTTGGTCGTTTGCATGAGAGCTGAGGTGGGAGATAATTCTTTCATAAATTGTCAAAGACCTAGACTCATATGGGGTATTTCAACTGACAGAGAAAAAGTTAAGATACGAAGAGAAAGCATAAGTCCTGGAAGAGGTGGAAGGGACGGAATCCACAGTTCAGGAAGCCATTATCCTAGAGGAAAGTCAGGGCCTCTTTCTTCCTATGAGAGAGGACAGGAACACAGAGAAAGAGGGCTGGTGGTGTAGGGGTTCGCTCATCCCCCTCCATTTGGGGATATGAGTGAACGAGGAGCCAAGGTCACCTGGTGAGACAGAGAGAGGAGCCCATGGATGGAAAGCTCAATGGAGTAGTGAAGATTTGGAACCGAGGCCTTGCAGACATTGGAATGATAAATGTCCACAATGTGATTGCATATGTTCCCTGTAGCTCTCAGTTGGCTGATGAAGTCACGGAAAGGGTAGTGGGAACCGACAGGGTGGGGATGCTGGAGGGGAAAAGAATGTTGGTAAATGAGTGTACTGGTGAGAGTGAATTTGAAAGGATGGCCTACAGGGCATGAGAGGAAGAGAGGAGGAACACAGGACACGCAATAGACTCAGATAAGGAGAAAAGTTAGAGGGCTAGCCACACAAATGTGTAAAAAGAAACTTGGTCCCAGGTACCTGCAAGGTGGGGCATCTGCTTTGAGACATCAAAATGGAGCTCACATTGGAAAGTCCCAAGTTCTCTGTGTACAAGCTTACATTGTGTTTAAACTGTCTTTCTCCATCAGGATCTGTTTCAACTGCTCCATTTGGGCTATCTTTCCCTATCAGGATCCATTTTATCTGCTCCAAGAGACATCTGCCTCTCCCTCTGATAGGGCTCTTCCCTGGATATCTCAAAGGGAATTTTCCAGATGTCATGTGGTCTATGTTATAAGTCAGATTATTTCAATCACATCCTACTAGCTTGGTGAAAATATCTACCCAGCTCCTTTTACAAGACAAACAGAAACCTAATTCTGTATGATATTGACATTCTCTAGTTGCATCACACCGTTTTTTGTGTGACTCTTATTTTCATCGCTTGTTGGTAAGCGCATGGAAAGCAGGACCAGGTCTTCCATGTCGCTTGACCGTGCCGTCCCTTCCACGAGGCCTGAAGCTGGCACATGGCTGGGCACTCCATACATGTTAGTGTGAAGCTGAGTTTATTTACCCAGGAGAACCTTACTAGAGTTTAAACTGCAGAAATACCAAAATAACCACTAGTCATGGAAAATACTTGCTTAAAGACAAATTAATGCATTAAATGATTCAGGATTTTTTTACTATCTACCTTGTGCCAGGCATTATGCTAAACACTGGGGATGAAGAGACTTCCACCTCCTATTCCCTGGGTGTCAGGGGCTTACAGTCTTGCAGAGGACATGGGTACATACAAGCCATCATAGCACAATGTGGTAAAGAGACCAGGATATTCGAGAAGGAATATGGGTGCATGGAGTAGGATATAGTCTCTGCATCTAGGAGTCAGGAAGGCATGGCAGAGGTCATGATATTTAAGAGGTCATGATATTAAGAGGTACCAAGGAAGACAAATAGAATTCCAGCAGACAGATAAGGAAGAGAACAGCCTGGGCAGCGGGGAGAGACTTTCCAGGGACATGGAGACTGCAGAGCATGGTGATTTGGAAACCTCAGGGTGAGGTGCCATTGGGGCATGGCGGGACATCAGGCCAGAAGGGCAGGTGGGTGCCAGTCCAATGCCTATTTGATGAATGTCAACCTTGGCTCTTGAACTTTAGCCTCAGAAATATTTAATCAAACAAAGTCTCACTGCAATGCAAGAAGTGAAACAGACAGCAGTCCAGCAGATCTGATTGGGAGTAGGCAGTGAAGATCACCCCCTTTTCCTTTCCCCCCTTCCCCTCTTTGTCAACTCCTCCTAGATCCTATGCCCTCACCTCCCAGTACCTAATGTGATGAGGGAGGGGCCTCTGAGGAACTCCTAGAGCTTTGAGGGGCAATTTGAAAAATATTCCTGTGACAATTGGGAAAGAAGCAGATGACTATTGAAAACCAGGGAAAAGGAGCTCAGGTAGACCAGAGGCTTAGAAAACTAAGTAGCAGGAGGGCTTTGAACATGGTAGAGAGAAAAGACTGCAGCAGTTGCAGGCAAGAGAGGGGATCAACCTGGCCCGGGGGAATGGTTGGGATTCAAAAGTGGAGGATTAAAAAGCCCAATACAGCTCTTTACAGGTGGGTTCCACATCACCTAGAGACTGGATATAGAGAACCAACCAGAGAGAGAGAGATAGAGGGAGATAGAGGGAACCAACCAGAGAGAGAGAGAGGGAGAACCAAGAGACTGCAAATCCATCTCCTTGGTATTGAAGTGCTGGGTGCAGCAGAACCCTAATTATGACAGAGGTAAAGTCAGACAGGACAGACTGAAGCCACATTCTATTTTCTGAACCTCCAGGACACCACAGATATGAGGGCCTGGTGGGAGAATGACTAGGTGGCGATTGCCCTGATTTATAAACATATCTTGTTACATTGTTGAGATGGGGAAATGCTAGAGTCAAGCAGTGACAGGACTGGGGTGCAGCTGGTCCACACATGCTTTGCTGGAGGCAGGGTAATTTGAGAAAATATATTTGGAAAGCAATTTGCATACCACTAAGTCATAAAAATGCTCAAACCACTTGACCCAGTAATTCTATATGTGGGAATCTGTCCTAAGGAAATTGTTCAAAAGAATGAAATGTCTGTGTTCATCCATCCAAATGTTAATTGATTAATTAGCCAATTAATTAGAAATTATTTAGTGTACTACACACATTCCAGGAACTCTGCTAGGCAAATGAACGTGTTCACTGTGGCAATGTTTATCGTTAGAGCAACCTAAATTATTTAAAATGCCATAGTGGTTTAATATGATGAGACATTGATATGATAGACAACAGGAGCCCCCCTTATCCTTAAACATCTGAAACCGTGGATAGTTACCAAACTACCAAAGCATAGACTATGCTTTTTTGATCTTATAACTGAAGCAGCTACTAAGTGACTAACTGGCCTGGTGGGTAGTGTTCACAGCATGGATACATTAGACAAAAGGATGATTCAGGTCCCAGGATGGACGGAGCAGGATGGGGAGAGAATTCATCATGCTACTCAGAATGATACACCGTTTAACACTTATGAATAGTTTATTTCTGGAATTTTAATTTAATGTAATTAATTTACTTTTTAAGTTGAGTCTTACTCTGTCATCCAGGCTGGAGTGCAGTGGCACAATCACAGCCACCGCAGCCTCAATCCTTTTGGGCTCAGGCAATCCTTCCACCACAGCCTGCCAAACAGCTGGAACTACATGCACATAACATCACACCTGGCTAATGTGTAGATTTATTGTAGAGAAGAGGTCTCTCCAGGTTGTCCAGGCTGGTCTCAAGCTCCTGGGTTCAGGCAGTCCTCTTGCCTCAGCCCCCAAAGTGCTGGGATTACAGGCATGAGCCACTATGCCCAGCTGAATTTTTCACTGAATATTTGCAGACCACAGTTGAGCATAGGCAGCCGAAACCACAGAAAGCAAAGCCTCAGATTTGGGCAGGCTATGTACTGTATTATGATTTAGTGCCCTGTGGCACAAGCAGAACTCTCACGGCTTGCTTGCTGCTGTGGTTGAGGCACCTTCTCCAGAGTTTACTGCCTGGGCTTGAATCTTGACTGTGCCATGCCCTGAGTTGCCTGACCTTGGTGAGTTCACAAGCTCCACTAAAGCTCAGTACCTTTAACAGTTAGGTGGGTGATAACCTTTTTACCACTTCATGGAGCTGCTGTCAAGATTAAATGAGAAAAGTGTGCAAAGTGCTTGGTACAATTCCTAGCAGAACTGCACTCAGTAAAAGGCAACTGTTATTTTAAATATGTAAAAAATATGGATCAATAGAAAAAGATACAGACTGACTCAAGTTTATAGCTCCAAATTTATAGCCCCAGGAAATAGTATGAGTGATTCGTCTCACATATTTTGTTCAGCATCATTGTACTAAAACCTTTGAAGTCACAGGTGATACAGAAAATCATGAAATAAGCAAAGCCCTTTGACCCAACGGTTCATCCATGAAAGGTCACAATGATGGATTGTTCCTGTTTGTTCTCTCCCCAGCGGTGTTTGGCCAGCGCTTGGATGAGACTGTCGCCTATGAGCAGAAGTTTGGTCCTCATCTGGTGCCCATCCTGGTAGAGAAGTGTGCAGAGTTCATCCTCGAGCATGGCCTGAATGAAGAGGGCATCTTCCGCCTGCCTGGGCAGGACAACCTGGTGAAGCAGCTGAGAGATGCTTTTGATGCTGGGGAGCGGCCCTCCTTTGACAGGTACCCTGGTCTGGATGACCCTCCATTGTAACTGAGCCATAGGACTTGTACAGACACTTCCAAGAGCTCTGGCTCACAACAGAAATAACCTCTTGTTTTACTTGTAATTCAGAATTTGGGAGCCTGGAGCAGTTAGGAGAGTATGCAGATAGTTTAGGTGAGAAATGATATGAACCAGAACTAGAGCCTTGCTAGGCAGATTCAAGTGATGTTTAGGACACAAGGGAAGGGGACATTCAGGGTAGGAGAACGATGGGACCTAGCCCAAGACCCACCTTTTGAGACACGTAAGGAAAACGTTAGAGTTGAGCAGGCCCCACACTCAGTGTGGTGGAGAATGCATGAGATCTATGTCCATAGGCCCAGTGATCTTCCTCAGTGCTCCAGAAGTAGTCAGGACCAAGATTTCTCTTTAATTTTTGAGACTGCAGTACTGGGCCATTCTGACTCTGCTTTGACCCTTTTGGAGAGAAAACATACTGATATCTTGGGCAGCCTGGCCAACTCTCCTCTGTCGAAGTCTACCCCCTCTGTTTGGGGCATATCAGGTATAGTAACATTTCCTCCCACCATCCCCTTCCTCCCCACCTTCCCCAGTCACTCAGCAGAGATTTCCTTCTCTGCTATGCTCAGTTAGTACAATCCCTACCCCTCCATTGTGTACCTCCTGCCTGTTGTGCAATGTTTATCCCTGCTGCCTGCATGTGCTTGTCTTGCTGGCATAAGATCCATTGTTCTTTCCAAATTAGCAGCCCATGAACCAAGCTTTAGAAAGATGGGCTTGAACTCTATCCAGTTTAAAAAAGTTGAAATTTGCCAGAACTTATTTAGGTCATAGGGGTAGGACTGATTTTGGGAAAATTGTGAAGACCTAAGTGCCATGCTTGTGTGGACTCTCCCTCATTCTTTATTCTAATCACCAGCGCTGCCCAGTCTTCCTGTGAAGTGGCTTTGAGATTCATCTGTTTCTCCCTACACTTCAGCCAGTTTTAGTTTGGACTGCCACACGAGTGTCTTTCCTGCCCTTGTCATATAATAAGTTAATTTATCAAGGATACTGTATTTTAGCACTATAGGGTCTCCTAGGGAAGCAAGGGGTAAAGTTGTTACTGGAACTGTGGTAGATTATTGCATCAAATTTAGGGAATGTTCAGCAGCACCATAAATTGCATTTCATTATCAGACACCTGCTCCATTATGCTCACCATCTTTATATTCAGTTTTCCTCTTATGCATTTAATTTGCTTTGACTTGATCAGAAGATACAGGTGGGTTGTTGCTAAAGTAAAACAAACACTGCCAAAAGGAATAGAGATGATCACCACAATTTGCTAAATAACTGCCTTAGGCTTTCGCTTACACACCTGCGTAGTCAGCACGGGTGGTGGTGTTGGAGTCTTTGATTCCTGAGATGAAATATTTGTGGCTTGTCTGAGGAAAGTTACCACACCTTGTCGTGACATTTCTACCCCTAGAACTGAGGGGTAGAGTTTACACATCCAGAAATAGGAAGATCACGGGAGCTCTTCACAGTCCTTCCAGAGTTGACTCTTGGGTCCACATGTCCCTTGAGAAGACAAGTCTGATTTGAGAGTCTGACTGGTTCTTACTTGATTCTTGTTATTTTGTTAGCTTTGAACATATTTAGGAGCTAAGTTCTCCTCTAACAGAGTGTCTCAGACTAAGAGAAACTTCTTTTCCACCTATAGATTATTAGGACAAAGCATCCCACGGGCTTTTGTTCCAGGCATGGCTATGGAGTCAGCAGATTCATTTCAATGCCTAGCTTCCACTTCGTTTTCCTTTATGTTGTGACATGAATGCTGAGATCACACTGAGCTACAGAGTTTTAAATTACTTTAACACACATTTTCTGATTTTATCCTCAAGACAAACAGGGCTATTGCCATTCCACAGGTGATGAAGACAGATGAAGCAACTTACCTAGGGTTAGATAGCCAGTTCCTGGGCCCTGAAGAGTAGGCCTTGAATCTTCTCATCCCTGGGTCTCTAATGACTCCAAAAGCCCCCCCTTTCCCCTTTTCCTGCCCTCTCTCCACACCTCTTCCACACTCCCCTACCTCTCAACGTCCTCTACCCCCAACCCCACACACACTATTCAGGTTAACACACTCTCAAGGCTGGTCTTTTCCTCCCCCATACCCAGGCCAAACTCACTCTCAGGAAATCATCTAACACTGGTCACTTTTCCTTCAGAGTTAATATGCCAGTTTTGTTGACCTCGCTTGGGTCATTGGCGTTTAAACCTTTATTATGGTTGTAGCTTTTTTTGCCCTCTATAAAATAAATTTCAGGAATCAGTGAGTAGAGGAAGGGGATTTAGGAGAGCAAGGATCCCATTCCGGTGTCCCCAATGTCACACCTGTGGGTACTCACCTAGATCCCCTATGTTGGTCATGTGCTCAATTACACCCCAAGATCCCATTGCCTCACTAGAACAAAGAAAAACAATGGAGCTCTTATTTGGTGAGATTTTAGTGCAAGTGTATCTGGTCTTGTAAACCACATAAATATATATTTGAAAATCTTCTTGTGAAGTTACGTTATGACAAATTTAGCTATTCTTGGAGGAGCAAAAAGGGAACCAAATTCTACCAGTCCATTGGCAAACACTACTCTTCTGGCTATGGACAGGGTGATGTCCTAGGATTTTATATTAATCTTCCTGAAGACACAGAAACAGCCAAGTCATTGCCTGATACTTACAAAGATAAGACTTTGATAAAGTTCAAGAGTTACTTGTATTTTGAGGAGAAAGACTTTGTGGATAAAGCAGAGAAGATCCTAAAGTAAACTCCCCATAGTGAGATAATATTTTATGAAAATGGTGTCAATCAAGGAGTGGCCTACAAAGACATTTTTGAGGGGGTTTACTTCCCAGCCATCTCACTGTACAAGAGCTGCACGGTTTCCATTAACTTTGGACTGTGCTTCAAGTATCCACTAAAGGATCTCACATACTGCCCTATGAGTGACATGGGCTGGGGCACTGTGGTCAAGCATACCCTTGCTGATGTCTTGTACCACGTGGAGATGGAAGTGGATGGGAGGCGCAGTCCCCCCTGGGAACCCTGACCAGCTCCCTGTTTTCAGACATGGACTTTCTGGGGAATAGTATTGAGGGTTGTATTTTTGTTTTTGAACTATCTCAAATGTTTTCAAAGATGCTACAGAACACAGCCTCTCCTTTTTGCAAGTTAAAAGACTGGGTAGGACTGTGGGAGACTCCTGCCCTCCAGTGTTCTCACCCCACTTCAGTAAATGCTCTTATTGTGTGTGCCACAAGCCAGCACCTGCTGATCCCAGGATCCTTTAAGCTCCCTGTGAAATTGGTGCTGTACCATGTGCCCTTTCACCTGGGACTTGTGATTTTACTGTATTTTCTAAGGAGTGCGTAATCCTGTCCAAGTAACTTATTTAAAGACATTTCCCTTTGTGCGCATTGGTTCCATCCCACCTTTTTCTAGGGAAGTGGTGTGCCTGTTTTGGAGAGTAGCTGAAATCCATAGCTGTACATTCCAAATCAGTCCAACAAGCTGTTTCCTTCTGGTGTGGCTTTGGTTTTGACAGTAATTTTGAAATATACCTTTGAACAGTGGGATCTCTGAAACTAAACTATTAGATCTCTAGAACTATAATTGTGAAAAGTACTTGCTTGCAGCTTTAACAAATGAGAAACTCCTCCCAAATAAAGCTTGTTTGGAAGTTTAAAATTTATATATATATATATATACATATATATATATATATATTTGAAAATCTTCTTGTGAAGTTTCTACCAGGATGGATATTGCCTGGCCACAAAGCTGATATACTTCCCACACCTGTTTTTCCCATGCCTATCAGTGTTCCCAGGAAAGGGCTGGCAGAGGTATCCAAGGGATCTTGGGTAATCCCTGGTGCATCAGCTGTTGAACTCAGAAGCCACCTGACTCCTGGCTTGCTCTTACTCTTTGAAAATAAACAAAACTATTTAAGGATGTTCTATTGGGTTGGAGGAACAGAAAACTCAGAAAAAGTAGTGCTGAAAACTTAGACCATACAACTGACATCTGAATTAGCCCTAGTACAATGGAGCATTGACATTAAAGCAAAAATGTACAGAAATAACTGTATAAGCTCCATTGTTTTAAGTGCTAAAAATGAAACAGAGATAGTACTATGAAAACTTAGAATGGAGACTTTTGTCATAGTCTGGTGGATTTAGGGAGGTCTCCCCCTCAAAGTGACATTTAAGCTGAGACTAAATAACCAAGAATGCAGGGGTATCCAATTCAAGCAGTGGGCATGGCTTGTCAGCAATATCTTTGGTAAAGTGGATTGGAAAGCTTTCTGAGGGTTTCAATGTCCTTAGATGATTTGTATAGCTAATTGTGCTCTTTTACTATAACTTTGAAGTATCCACATTATATCTATGGTTATAACCCCTTTCTCTTTTTAAATATTAGATATTTTGCTCTCTTGATTTCTTTTGAGTAAACTGTATGGTTGTCTTTTTATTGCTATAGCTAGTCTTCAAATGGTCTGGCTTGTTAACTTATCATTTATGTGGTTTTTCTCATTTCAAATTCTTTGTTTCCTTCACTCATTCCATTAGTGTGTTTTGAGTGTGGAATGCCCTGCGGTGGACAGAGCATCTGTGAATAGGACTCTGGAGTCAGGGAGACCAATCAGGAGGCTGGGTGGAGACTGGCAAAAGGCAATGATCTTCTGAGATAGGGTAGTAGTAAAAGGAGAGGAGGGGCTTACAGGGCTCTACATGACTCTGGAATAATAGAATTGAGGAGATTTGGAAGACAATCAGATGTGGGGTGAAGGAGAGGCCTTACTCAAACAGGAGTCCCAGGATGTAGATAAAGACAACTGGGTAGGCTGTGATCAAAGGACTTTAAGAGGGTGCAAGTTGAGGACTTCAGGAGAATGCCACTCTTGCAAATTGTCAGCTGACTGTCTTTCTGCGACTTTCTTGGGAATTTCTGGTCATATTTTGACAAGAGTACTTTTCTCAGCCGTGCTTTGCCTGAGGGTATTTTTAGACAGTGACTCAGCAGGGAAGGATTTTCCAGAATCCTTAAGTGAATGGTCTCCACCCCAGATTTCCTGAGAGTAGCCATGGAGCATAGACAGGGATCTGTGCCAGCCTGTATTATCCTGTTGAGGTAGAGAGTTCATAGGCTGCAAAGGGGGACCCTTTTCGGAAGATTGCTCCAACGACTTGCTGTCAAAAACCAAGGCAAAATGTCCACAAAACAGCAAGACAGAGCTTTCCAGTCAACTCTCAGTGTTCTTGTTTCTGTTACTTCAAATGGCTCCCTTCTCCTTCTCCTGTCCAAATCTAACCCTCCCTTCCCACCTAGGCCCAGGAGGCGTAGCCACCCAACCTATTCAACGTCCCTCAGTGAACACAGAAACCAAGGAGATTTCCAGGTTGTCAGAACCTCTTATCACATCACAACTTTTCAAGATACTTCCAGGGTTACTTCCTAGGAATGCCAGATTTTATCAGTATGAAACAAACACTTCATCACTAATGAGCTTCAGGTATATGGTAGTGAATTTTATTTTCTTTCGTACAGTTTCAGAAGAAATGCACTAGCCAGAGGACAACAAAAAATGGGCCAATCATTAAATATTTAGGCTTTGCAGGCCAGATGGTCTTCACTGCGGCTACTATACTCTGGTCAATGCATAAATAAACAAATATGGCTGGGTTCTCCTACAACTTTATTTATGGCTACTGAAATTTGAATTTAATACAATTTTCCTGTCATAAGATGCTCTTATTTGTTTGAGGTTTTTTTTTCATAGCTATGTAAAAATGTAAAGATCATTCTTAGCCTGCAGGCTGTATAAATACAGGCGGTGGGCCAAATTTGGCTTCTGGGCTGTGATGTGCTGAGCCCTGTTGTAAACTGGAGAAGCTGAACTGAAAAACCTGTGCCTCTTTCAGTCAGGCAGTCATCTGAAAGTTGTCTCAGTGGGGCTTCCTCTCCTCACACTCCAGGCCACCTGCCTCATGCTGTCGCTCCTTGCTACTTTTTAGATTTCATCTGAGGAACTATCTCATATGAAAAGTCACTATGGCTCCTAGTTTTGCCTTGAGTGTCCCTTTTTCATACTTCCATATGATCCGGAGTCCCAAGCTTTCCACATCATAGCACTAACCAAGTAGTATGACAATGTCCTGGTAACACTTGAGTACCCACAGCTCTATGGTTTGATGAGGCGAGGGGTCCTGTGTGTCCCTTGGGTTGACTACTGAAATCTTGGTGCTTGGCACAGTATCTTGTACCTACTAGGTACTCTCAATGCTTACCAATTGAATGAATTATTGAATGAATTATGAATGAATCTCAGAGCTATTTTAAACACTCGGATGATTAAAGAGATCAGTGGACCAAGGATGTAAAAGAGTTAGTATGCAAAATTAAAGACTAATTAGACAATGCTAATTGTGAGGCACTACATGCCTTAAAGAAAGAAGACGACAATAAAGACTAAAATAATTAAAGAAGATTCAATATAAAAGTGGAGCTTGAACTTACCTTTGAAGCAATTGGGTAGAAGACATAGAGGAGAGGGTGTCTGGAATCGTTATTAAAGAAGGGAAAATTAGTAGAAATGTTTTGGTCTATTTCTTCTTTATCAGATGCCTCTGCAAAATTCCTTTTTGTAATTTATGGTTCTATTCGGTGGTTCACCAAGGTGGAGGTGAGGAAAGTTCTAGAGCTTCTCTTTCATTTTTTTTTTTAAATTTTAAGGATGTGAGGGTATAATTCAGGATCAGGTACCTAATGGAGTTTCTCTTTCAAAGAGCGTTGCTTATTTTCTTCCAGAGAGACAGATGTACACACGGTGGCTTCCCTGTTAAAACTCTACCTCCGAGACCTCCCAGAGCCAGTGGTTCCTTGGAGCCAGTATGAGGGGTTCCTGCTCTGCGGGCAACTGATGAATGCTGATGAGACAAAGGTTTGTATCTCACTAGGGTTAGCTGTCCTGCTTTCACAGAAAGCAACTGGTTTTCTGAACACTATTCTGGTAGGCAACAGTGGGTTAAGTGAGATACTATGTCAAACTGAAACTTCCCCAATAAAAGGCCGTTGAAGCCAAGCATGGTGACTGGCAAACCACAGCCTTTATGGGATGTAATAATCCAATGAAGAGTTGGGCCATAATCAGATACCCCCCAAGTCACATTAAAAGTAGGGAGAAAAGGAGGAAACTTCTGAGAAGAGTTTCAAGCGCTATGGCCTCGCTAAGACCTGTTGAGTCACAACAGCGGGTTGACCACCCCAAGGGTCAGGAGCAAGGTCAGGCTATTCAAGCCCTACTATAGTGGCCATGAGTGTCAGGCATAATTGTTCAAGGAATGCGTATTCCAGGGAGAAGAAGGACAGGGAGCTTTCCTTTATTCTTTCCAACCACAGCTGTCTTTAGGGTCTGTAATAACCATCTGCAACATCATGCTTTTGAGAGTACACAGCCAGCAGGACATTTGACCTATATAAATTGTTTCTGGAAAGGCCTTATAGTCAACAATCACCACTGAAGTCATGTTAATAAACCAACCAACCAACCAACCAACCAGCAAAAAAAAAAAAAAAAAAATGGATAAAACCCTACTAATAAATATAAAACCTTCGTAATTTTTAACCAAGATTTTCAAAACCAAATGGCCCATAAATACATTTGCATTACACTGCTAAAATGGCGGTCTAACTCCTTTAAGAAGGTTGTTTTTTTATCATGACTGTGTTAAAAGCTTTCTCGGGCAAAGTGGTACATAGAAAAGCCTATAATGAAGGCCTAGATTTAACTTTTATTTTGCCCTTAGGAAAATTATGCATCTTTAGTGAGACTCAGTCTATTTGCTTAGACCAATAGAACTTTCTGTGATGATAAAACTGACCAATATGGGAATCACCAACCACACATGTCTACTGGGCACTTGATATGCAGCACCTGAGAAGCTGAATTCTTAATTTTATTTCATTTTAATTTACTTAAATTTAAATAGCCACATGTGGCACGTTGTTGCTGTGTTGAGCAGCACAAACTTAGACGATTTTCATAATATCAGCTGTGCCCAGGATTTTTTCGAAGACCAAGGAATATGATACTGGTGAGTGATTTTTACAAAATTATTGGCCTAAGGGAAGATTTATTTTCTTCTGTACTTCAGAATATGTCATATAATATGCTCCCTAGAATATATATTTTAAAACTCAGTGGAGAAATACTGCCTTAACTCTGTAGGAAAATATAGCTGTGAGAATTTCTATCTTGAGTGCGAAGCCTGGTGATTTGAATAGATCCCAGCACAAGAGAAAAGGTAATTTTACATTTCAAAATTAGGAAAGGAAGAAGACAATAATTCAGCTAACGATGGCTATTACAGCTATTTTTCAAACAAAAATTAGAATGCATGATCTAACATAGGATATTTTGTACATGATTTAAGAGTTTTGTGGGCAGGGGAGAAGAGAATATGAAAAGTTTTAATTTATACTAGTATAACAGCTCACCTTTGAGAAAGTAATATAATTGTATATAATAAGGCTTAAAATAAACTTAAAAGACAAATGTTTCAGATAGCATCTGACCCCTCAGTTCTAGGGAAAGTAAAGAAGGCACCTAGACACCATTCTGACCGTGAGTCCCACCCCTGGACTTCCCTCACATTAGACCTGTTACTTCCAACTTTTCTCAATCTCGATATATTTGAGAGTTTCTGCATCTATGGCAGTGCATATATACACAGAACAGAGGAACCAAGGTCCTTTTCACAGGTGAAAACATGGCAGAGGTGATGGTGAGGAGGGTTGAATCTGTAGCAACCTTTGCAAATAATTCACTTGACTCAGCTGAAAAGAAACAGATCCTGGCATGAAACTGACACTCTGGATAAATAAGAAGGTCTTCCCAAGGTGGGGTGGGGCTGACAAGATTGGAGGGCTCATTCTCTCCAATGAGAAGTTGTTGAGGTTTGAAAAATACCTGCATTTCTCATGTGAACTCGTGTACTCTACAAGCATGATGTGTCTTGTGTGTCATGATTACAGACCCTATAGGCAACAATGACTAAAAAGAACAACAACAAAACTCCCCGTCCTTCCTCACCCAGGAACATGCATTCCTTGAATGACCATTACTGACATTCATGGCCATTCATTGCAGAGCTTGGACAGTCTGATTTTGCACCTGCTCTCCAGCTTGGCCAACCTGTCCTTATGTCCCAGCAGGTCTCAGCAAAGCCATGGTACTTGAAACCCTTCTCAGAAGTATCCTTCTTACTAGTCCTAAAGTGATTCTGAGATATGTTTTTATGGTCTAATTCTTTATTGGGTTGTTATATATCCAAAGCATTTCTTATGCATACAATTATTGTGAGTATAAGTTGTCAAATAGTCCTTGCCTTTGGGTAGCTCAGGGGCAGGGGTGGGGTGGTATGGCATAATTATAGACAAATTTTTAAAATGTACTTCATGAAAACTGTGACCTTCTCAATACATTTCTGCAGTTTTATGAAGATGTATAGTTATTTCCAAATATATATATATATTTAAATATATATATTTTTTAAAAACCATATAACTGCAAAAACAGGAGTGATGCTGATATGTTTCCACTCAGATGAAACGATTCTGTTTCAGGCTCTCATTACTGGCATGTGGGCAGACTTATTTGCTGGGGTTTAAAATATTTTCCCAGGCTCAGCAGGAGTTGATGAAGCAACTGTCTATCCTTCCCCGTGACAACTATAGTCTCCTGAGTTACATCTGCAGGTGAGATTCCCCTGGTATCAACTCAACAGTGTTTAGCTGCAATAGAAAGAAGTCCCTGGGTAGAAGAGGAGATTCTAGTCCAGAACTTTGAAAGATCAACTCTATTCACATAGCACTGCCGTAGCTTCCTATTTCCACAAGAGAATTTGCAGAATCCCTGAAACCTGATTGACACACAAAATGAACATGCTCCCCACTTCAGGATTTTCCCAGAGCTTCTTAGGATCCTGGGGCATGCAAGATAACCCAGAATCCTTATAGTATTTCTAAAGTTAGCTCCCATCACCCTTACTCTGGCGTTCATTCTGGGCCACCCTTTTATTTTCCTTTAGTTCTTTCAGAGAACCTGCTGTGAACCATCTTGTGGCAACATCTAGATGTGGTTTGACCCACATCTTGCTGGTCTGGGATCCTGGATCTTCATATCTGACAGACCTGAATTTTGTCTTTCATTTTTAAATATAATTTATTGGTAGTTCCCAGAATATAAAAGCTATACTTGCTTGATTTGGAAACCAAGAAGACACAGTCAACTGTAAATAAGAAATATGAATTACAGTCCCCTCATCCATCAATAATCACTATTAACACTTAGGCTTTTTTCCTTTTGGATGCTTTCTGTCTGTGATAAATCTTCTTAGGCATCAATATAGATATAAGGGAACAACTTTTTATACCAAATCAGAATTATACTATATATATAAAAGATTGTATCCTGATTTTTAGTTTAATGTTGCATTGTGAGCAATTTCCTATGTCATACAAATGATTCCATAATATTTTGCAATGTTTCATCATTTGGACACATCACCATCTATTTAATAATGTCTTTGGATTTGAAATTTCACGTTGCTTCAATCTATCTATTTTAAAAGCTAGTCTTTAGAGAGAATATTTAGAAATTCTCTAATGATCTGTTCAGTTTTGTTTTTATAGTGAATCTGAGAGTTTTGTGCCTCAAATAGGTAAAATTATCATAAAAATTCAGTGTTAGTTTTTGAGCACCTGCTGAGAATTGGTGACACTTGGTGCTCTAACCATAGGATGAGAGCAAGAAAGCATCATGGATTTCTCAACTCTGAGACCTTCTCTGGAGACTTGGGTGGGATAGATGCTGAGAGTTTGGAGGCAGATTTTAGTTCTTTCCGTCCATTCATAGCTCCCTGAAGTGGATCCTGCCTCCTGCTTATATGATTCCCCACCACACCCCCAGCAGCTGGGCAGGCCCCTCCTGTTTTCATTTTCTTCCTTGGTATTTGGTCTTTGATGAAGTTAACTCTTGTGGAAAGAGCAGGCTGGTCCCATTTCTGAGATCAGGAAGAAAGAGTTGGGATCCATCATGGGTTCTTGTTGGAACCTCGAAGTGTTTCCTCCTGACAGCAACTTCCTGTTTCCTACTCTGGGATTTCTTGGCTGCCTGCAGGTTCCTACATGAAATCCAACTGAACTGTGCAGTTAACAAGATGAGTGTGGACAACCTAGCTACTGTGATTGGTGTAAATCTCATCAGGTCAAAGGTCGAAGACCCTGCTGTGATCATGAGAGGTAGGGCTGGTCCAGTGGTGAAGGCAGATGCAGAGGAAGGAACAACAATTATGATGCTCCACCTGACATTTGTGTGTGGCTTTGCAATTTCAGCTCATTATCTCATCTGAATCATACTATAGCCCGGTGAAGTCGGCAAGGCAGGAATTATGTCTAGTTTTCCAGATCGCAACAGAGGAGAGTGGTCAAGGATTTGTTCAGTAGTCACACAGTACAGTAACATAGTGCTAAAACAGATAGTGTTTCTTAGTCTTTTATTACTTTTAAATACCCTTAACCAGATAGAGCAAACAGGTTTCATTTTATGAGCCAGCTCACAAAAAAGGCAGCTTGTAAAGCTGTGTTGGGTAGGCTTCTGAGGCTGTGCCTTGGCTCAGTGAGCACAAGTCTTGACATAGAGTGCAGAGCTCTGCCATGGGGGTGGGGGCAGTAAACCTGGCACATACTTGCTTTGTGTCTGAGATTTAGGACCACATCAAGAAAGAAAGATGTTTTCTTTTTCTTTCCTGTTATATTACTTACTTCCTGGTCAAAAACTAATCCAGCGGACTATAAGCTAAAAATAACCTTAACAGTTCCCTCTTTCACCCTCTGCCCATATCCTCCTTGTATTCCATCCCTGTTACTGTAATCTTCTACCAAAGCAATTAAGATGCTATGAGGAGCAAAATGAGATCCTTTGGGCCCTGTGATTTTAGAACCAAGTTTGGAGACATCGTGGGTGGGGACTCTTGAGTATCACCTGCCTCCTGTCCCATGGATGGTCCAACTGTACAAATCTCTCTTTTTTTTTCTTTCAGGGACCCCTCAGATCCAAAGAGTGATGACTATGATGATCAGAGACCATGAAATCCTCTTCCCCAAGTCCAAGGATGCACCTCTCTCACCCTCTTCCCAGAAAAACGATCCCAAGAAACCTCCAGTGGCTCGAAGCTCTGTAGGGTGGGATGCCACTGAAGACCCCTCAATTTCTAGGACAGACAGCTTCAGTAGCATGGTAAGGTGTAGGAGTCTTCCTGCTTCCACTGGGCTCTTCCTTTAGTCCAGGCCATGCCATGTAAGAGGTGCCCTGAGGTGACAATCGGGGAGTTTGGGATGATGCAGTGGCAGTGGGTATAGCTGGTGCAGACCCATTTGAATACATCTCGAAAGCCTGGCTTCTTTCAAAATCTGGTCTCTATTGGCATCCTGAGGGTTATTGACATATGTGCCAATCACTCAGTGACTGAGCAATGAGGGTCCTCACTGAAGCCCACTCTGAAAGGGAAACCCATTCAAATACAGTTCAGGGAAGCTCAATGGAAAAAATAGATACCACATTATAAATGTTTTGGTGGAAGTAAGTTGTTGAAAATTCCGGGGTGAACATCCAGTGAGAACTGGTGTCCTGCTAATCCATGAAACGTGATTTTTTTCTCAGAGTATGTGATGTGTTTGTGTAATATTTCTCATTCCATGATAAGCTGTCTCGACAATGTCAGCCCCCTTGTTTGTACTGAAGAGTTGGAGCTCACGTTCTCAATGTCCAAAAACTCTGCAGACTCTGAAATGTAGATTATTTCCGAGCAATAAATTATTGTAAATATATATATAGTAAATATATATACATATTAGAAAGCTGAATTTATTGAGAGGACAGAAAAGCTCCCACATTGGGAAGGGGACCCAAGAGCGTTGCCCGACAAATATTTTTAAAATATTTATATTTAAACTTTATATAGCAGCTTTATCTTTAGGTGTGGTCAAGACATGAATTCAAAATTTCAGGTTGACCAGATGATTTAAATTACCCATAGTAATTGTAATACCCATAATAATAGTTAATCCTGAAGGTTAAAAAAAAGTAGATAGTGGTAGTGGTTATGGTTTTGCTTAGGTGAGGTCTATCTGGATGCAATGCATCTTACTAACACTCTAAAACAAAATTAAAATTTAGAAATACTCATGTTCTCTGTAACAAATCATCCCAGCAGTCCTTAAAAATAGCCGGTATACCCGTCAGCAGGTTTCTACTGCATATTGTTTGCTATGGGCAGGCACTGTGCTAGGAAGTTTAAATAAATCACTTCTAGAGTCCTCACCATAACATTGTAGGGTAGAAATTATCAACCATATCTTATGATTAAGGAGCAGAGACAGAGAGGTTGACCAGCGGGCCCAAGGTAGCAGCCTCAGCATGTTATAGAGTAAGACTCAGTTCTAGTTTTCACATCACCCCAGGTGCTTCTGACTTCAGAAGATGACATTGCTGAAACAAATGATTAGCTAGAAAGATTAGAGGGAGAGCTTGAACCCTAATTTTCCAATTTTATGTTTAGGGTTCTCTCTCTCTCTCTCTGATTTTCCCTTATTATTTAATTTTAAAACATTATATATATATATATATATATATATAGTATATATATATACCAAACTGTATCTGTATATATATATATATATATATATATAATATAGTTCAAAAGATTAAAAAGATAGAAAAATAAATACATTGAGAAGTCCTGCTTACTCTTCTGTTTCTACCTGTCCTATCCCTCTCTGCTTTTATTAGTTTCTTATGCATCTTTCCAGTGTTCCTTTATGAAAATATAAGACATGAATATAGATTGTCATTTACCTCTCTTTTTACACAAAATGCAGTATAATCAATCTCTCACTCTTTACACACACACACACACACACACACACACACACACACACACACACTACTCAGTATCTTGCATTTTCTTCTTAACGGTATGAGAATTTTCATGTCAATACGTAAACAATGGCCTCACATGGCCTCGCATGACCTCATGCTTTAGGAAGGTGTACAGTGTTCCATTCTGTAGATGGACTATAATCTACTTAACTCAACCCTATAGATGAATAGGTTGTTTGCAATCCTTCACACTACAAATAAAGCTGCAATGAATAGCCTTGACAAGACCTCCTTTTGTAACTCAGGCAGGTGTATTTCTGAGATAAATTTTCACATGTGGAACTGCTGAGTTCAGGGTAAGTAGATTTAAGTGTGTAATTTTGATTATATTATTGGAGTTTGTTCCGTTTTCTATTTTTCAAAGACAATGCATGAAAGAAGCTGTTTCCCTGCAGTTTCACCAACAGAGTGTATTGTCAAATTTGGGGAGTTTGCCTATCCGATAGGTGTGAACTGGTGTTTTAGTAATTTAAATGTTAGTCTGTGTTTCTCATATTATGAGAGAGGCTGAATGTCTTTTCTTATATACAAGGGCTAGTTTTCATTTTTCTCCTATGACCTGTCTGATCTTGTCCTTTGCCCACATTTATCTGGTTGTTGGTCTTTTCCTCCTCAATTTTTATGAACTTTACATATTAGAGAGAGTAGCCTATTTCCTGTGATATGCATTGCAAATATTTTTGCCAGTTTTTCATTTATTTTCTGATTTAGCATGTGCTGTTTTGTTTCTGTTTTCTTTTTTCTTTTTTTTAGGTCGTGGAAAGCCATATAGGTTGAATTTATCAAATTGCCCTTTTATGGCTTCTGGATTTTGAGTCATAGTTAGATGGTTATATAAGGATCCTAATTTAGAACTCTTTTACCACAAATAATTGATTTTAGTCAGTACTTCACCTTAGAACATGAGTTCCTTTAACTGCAATACCCCTTTGGAAAAAAATGTCATGCAGGTAGTCAACTGATGTGATAAATTAAGAGGTGATCTTCTAGTCAAGAGTTTCAAAAAAATAAGTTTCATAGGTGTACATAGGAAACTTTTTTCTTTCAGGTCTCTAGAGCTTATCTTGAGAGCATGACACATGTAACATTTATGGCCATGTTTTTTTTCTAGACAAGTGACTCAGATGCAAACAGCCCCACTGGACAACAGCCAAGCGATGAGTATCTGGAGGACAGCAGCAAAGCCTCCAGGGAAAAGCAAGGAGATTGGAAGGTGCAGTCTCGAAAAAGGACTCAAACGCTCCCTAACCGGAAATGTTTCTTGACATCAGCGTTTCAAGGTGCCAATAGCAGCAAAATGGAGATCTTTAAAAATGAGTTCTGGTCACCTTCTTCAGAGGCTAAGGCAGGGGATGGGCATAGGAGAACAATGTCTCAAGATCTACGCCACCTTTCTGACTCCCAGAGGACTTCCACCTATGATAATGTCCCTGCCTTGCCAGGGACTCATGGGGACCGAGTGGGTGTACTGTCTTCCCATGCATGTGACTCCAAGGGAGACGCTCCTGCCAGCCCAGACTCTGAAACTGGTCCTGAAAAAAAGAACTCTGGAGAAGAGGGAGTTGATTCTTTGCAGAGGATGGTCCAGAAGCTACAAGAGGAAATAGAAACACAAAAGCAAATGTATGAGGAACAGATTAAAAAGTAAGTCTCATACAGAGAAGCATTGGCAGCACTTCGTTTCCTTCCATCTTGAGAAGCAATAGGGATTGGTTTCATCTGTCAGGGAAATCACAGCATAGAAATTCAGTTTAGAGAAAACAATACACTATAGTAGTGGGGCCTGGTAAGGAAAGAAGTGAAGGACACAATGAGATTCTAAATTAGTGAAAACTCTAAACTTTAGGATAGATTTATGAAAATTTAAATATATAACTCAAGTAGCTTAATTAACAGTTTCCCAATTGTGGTTCCTTAAGGATCAACATGCTTTAATGAAGGATGAAGGGCATGATGAGATGCTAAATTCATGAAATTCATGAAATTAGTGAAATCTCTAAACTTTAGGTTAGATTTATGAAAATTTAAATAGCTAGCTTAAGTAGCTTAATTTCCAAATCGTGGTTCTTTAAGGATTGACATGCTTTAATGAATTTAATGGAGCTTTTAAAAAGTTTACCATATTAAGGTTACTCATTGATTCTGTAGACATTTCTTGAACCCCTTCTTTGTGCCAGGCACTATTCCAGGTGCTAGAAAACAGCACTAAACAAAAGAGATAAAAGTCCTTGAGCTTACAGAGCTTTTCTTCTAGCAGAGATAGACAATATAAATATGTAACAAAATATATTCTATGTCAGCTGGTGGAAAAAGTCATGGAGAAAAATTAAGGGGGTCAGGAGATCAATCCAGCCATGCCCATATCAACAATAGTCATGAGGTAGTGAAATGTGAATTAGTGAGGCTTTCATATTCTGGATACTTCCCGGTCCATTCAGACTCAGAAACCTGAAAGAAAGAGTTCTGTGCACCCTCATTCATTGTTCCCTACAGAGAGCTGCCCATACAGAAGCAAAAGGCAAATCCTTTGTCTAAGAACCTGAAATCAGTCATTTGTAAAATTATAAGAGAGTTCAAGAAGGGAAATATATTGTTAAATAGGGTAATCAGGAAAGGCCTTTCTAAGAAGGTAGAGGGAAGGTCAAAGTCTGAAGGAGATGAGGAAGCAAGTCAGGTGTGTAGACGGGAGGGGAGCAAGACAGGCAGCCAGAAGCCAGGGTGCAAAGGCCGTGAGAAGGGAGCAAGCCTGACCTGGTCCTGCACGGGAAGAGCGGAAGTGGGCTAGATTGGGGGAGAGGAACTGGTAGGACATGAGGATGAGAAGTATAAGAGGCCAGGGCACAGTAGGGTTTCGTTGGCCACTGGCAAGGCTGAGTAAGATGGAAGCTTCTGGATGGTTTCAAGTTGGCTTCTACATCATCGAGTCGCTGGCTTCCCAGTGAGCGCAGGCTGTAGGGGCAAACAGAGATGGAAGGCAGCTATTGCTCCAGTTGCATGCAAAGTCCCAAGATGCTTGGACAATTGATTATCTTGGGCAGGTAAAGTATTTTCTGTTTTTTGTTTTTTTTTGAGTTGGAGTCTCACTCAGGTTGAAGTGCAGTGGCACCCTCCCGGCCACTGCAGCCTCAACCTGCTGGGCTCTGGTAATCCTTCCTCCTCGGCCTTCCAAGTAGCCAGAACTACAGGCGTGTGCTACCACTCCCGGCTAATTTTTTAATTATTGTAGAGACGAGGCCTCACCAAGTTGCCCGGGGGGGTCTCGAAACTGCAGGCTCAGGCAGTCTACTCGCCTCAGCCTCCCAAAGTGCTGGGATTACAGCCTGGCCAAGTAAAGTATTTTCTTGAAATCTTCTCACACTATTGATTGGCCAGAAAATGTGTTTTCATGAGAGAAAAACCATATTCTACCCATGTCTTGTAACAACTAGGCATGAGGTAGTGAACTGTGAATTCATGGGACTTTCATATTATGGAAATTTCTTCATCATTAAGACTCGGGAACCTGAAGGAAAGACTTCTGTGAGCCCTCATTCATTGTTCCCTACAGAGAGAGACCCATTCAGAAGCAAAAATGTAGCTCCTTTGTCTAAGAACCTGAAATTGATCATTTGTAGAATTAAAAGATTTTGTGATGTCTTGCCAGTGACTAAAGCTGTCAGTCCCAGAGAAGGCTCACACTATACTCAAACATGATTGTCATTGATAAAATAGGAAAAGAACTTGGCTGTCATAGAAGTGGCTGCCCTTCCTGGGTGGAACAAGTCTTCTGAGTCCACCTGTCAGGGAAATTGTCCATCTATGGAAGAAGGAGGAAAATTAACAGTCCAGCAGAAAAGCTTACCCTACACTGTGTTTCAGAGACATCTTTTTTTGTAATCTCCATAGCTGTTCTGTGGAATAGGTAATATTCTCATTTTACAGAAGAAATGGAGACTTAGAAAGTATAAAAATACTCTTGAAGGTTACACAAGTAATAATTGGTAAGACTGGGATTTGAACCTAGGTCGACCAGGTTTGGGAGAGTCTGCCACCCCACTGGAAACAATGGTTAAAATTTAGCACAGTGTTTCACTTAGGATTTCCCCCTGAGCCAGTGGAGTATGGAAAACTTGGTGAAGAAAACTAGATTTGTAATGACAGGGCTGGAAGGAATGGGACTTAAAACGCTTTGACTTTAAGCAAGGCTCTGAAGAGGGACCACTACCTGCAGAATGGGCCAAGGTACTTGAAGATAAGACCCAAGGCACGGGCATCTCCAAATGTAAACAGGCAGGCCTTTTGGGAAGAAAAAAGGCAGTACCCCGCACAATAAAATTCTGCAGCACATTTCCAATCATACAGTCTCCTCACAGGCCTGAAATTCCTTCCTTTGGTTTAAAAATGGCATATGTACACTCATTTGTAAGAGTGAATTCAGATAGCCTGACAGCAGGGGGAAGCTGGCAGGACTACATCCGAACCTTGGGGATTCAGGAATCTTTCAGATCTTTCACCTGGAGTGGGATCCAGAAGCGAGGGTGGGATTGCCAATGGACAGTTCCTTTTGCTTCTCCAAACCATGATTCCCAGGAGGCCCTTAATAAGAGAGGGTGCTGGTCTGTGATCTCCACTGAGGCAAGATGAAGAGGTACCCATGTAAACAAAGTGTGAGAAATCTGGAATATGGTGGGGCTTCCACAGTTTTTATTAAGCAGAAATAATACAAGGTGTTGTGAAGATGCTCTGGGAATTCAAGTTTACTGGGCAGTCTTCATGAAGGAAGGACGTAAGTAAGAGGTATAAGTTGGAAATGAGTTGTGATTCGAAAAGCAAAACAAACAGTTGTGCGCAAGGGGTGAAGGAAGAGTCTAGAATTAATACCCTGTCCTTTCATTCTTTTCTTTCCTTCCTCATAGCCTTGAGAAGGAAAATTATGACGTCTGGGCTAAGGTGGTGAGGCTTAATGAAGAGTTGGAGAAAGAAAAGAAGAAGTTTGCAGCCTTGGAAATCAGCCTTCGCAATGTGGAGCGCTCCCGGGAGGATGTTGAGAGGAGGAACAAGGTCTTGGAAGAAGAAGTCAAGGAATTTGTCAAATCAGTGAAGGAACCCAAGAGTGAGGCTTGAGGATCCCAGGCGTATTGCCCAGCTTTACTCCCTTTCTCAGTGCTACCTGATGACTAGGAAGCAAATTACTCTTTAAGAGGGAAAGAACATTTTGGGGGAAACATCACATTTTCCCATAAGTTAATTAATGAGGTTTGCAGGAAGATGAGGGTGAACAAGGACATGTGTGGACATCTATGACCATCCATTGCTGTGTTCAAAGGCATTGTATCAATCCTCCATGGTCTCAGGCCGAGTGAAATAGAACCTGCCACAGAAGGATGACTATGTCCAATGGAGACACATGAGGCAGGCCACATTTTGAGGACCCAGGCCGCAGGCTGGTCTCAACCGGAGGCTGGGCTGAGATGTTACTTCTTTGATTTCTGTGTGGAACAGCTCACTTTGTCAGATAGCCTCAAGGCATCCTTGAAATGCAGGGCAGGGGCAGAGAATGATATTCAGCTTTCAAGTGCTCACCCATGGAGTGCTGTGTTTTGGGAGGCTGCACCTGCTGGGGCCAGAACCCCATTCTACCACTTCCACCACAATACACATACTCCAGGCATTCTCAAACTCATTATCAAACTAAGACAATGCAAACCACAAACTGTATTTATAAAAGTGAAATCCATGAGAAAATTACTTGCAAATAAAGCAAAAAAAACCAACAAGACTATTGCTAGTCCATACTGTGCTTTTGTAAAAATTAGTATAAGACACTCCTTCCTGGCAGCAGATGCACTCATCTCTGGGGCACACAGCTTGAAGAGCAGGGTATGGGTTGGATTCCATTTCTAACTGGTCTCTCAGTGTCAAGTGTTTTTATATTTCCTGAGCTGCCATTTCTTCGGTAAAGTGGGATATTACCTACTTCACAGGCTTATTGTGGGGATTACATGAGAAGGTGTAATCCATTACCCACTTACCTTTAAATTGTGTATGGAGGACCTAGGAACAAAGGTTTCTTTCCAGATATGACCTCCTCGGAGACTGGTTGTGGATTTAGTAACTGTCATGATAATATTTTTTTCTGTTTCACTAAAATGCAAGAGATTTCACCCATTACAGGGACATCAGGCACTAGACAATAGCGGGAAGGGAGATTTTTCCAGGGGACAACTCCTTGTACATCAAGCCAGCCTGGCAGAGGCCCCTGGTCTGTCCCAGGCCCCTAGGTAGGTTGGTTGAGTCTTTTATGGTTTTTCTTACTGTTCTAATTAGGTCCTCCAAGCCCTTTTGACTGTGTACCTCATCAATAGAAAATGTTTAAGCGTATACTGCCAATATAATTATATTTATTTATTTGTAAATGACATACATTTGCTATATCATGCATATTATAAAAAACATATGCAGGACAGAAATTAGATAACGTATAATGATGACATGAATGCAAAGATGAACAGATTTTCTCAAATGTGCTTTCAATTCTGGAACCCTGACCCAGGTTCCCAGCAGGTATTACCTGAACCAGTTTCACATCTTTCATTCCATTACTCCCATACTGTACTTGAACTTTTGAAGCCCTGTAGTTTAATTAGTGGTTAATTAGTGAAAATGTACCCTTCCCAAGCACATGGTTCCTTGGTCACTCCTTTTTCTCTCTGTCTTCTTCACTCTGGTTAACCCCTCCTGTCTATGGTCGTGACTTATTGCTCACAAAGTGAAAGGTACAGACAGGAGTGTCAATGTTTCTTAGCCCTGCTACTCAGGCCCTGCTCTATCACAGTCACTTGAGGAAGAGATTGACTGAGTGTGTGTGTGTATGGGTTGGGGGGCGGGAAGATTCTTACAGCATCCTCTTCTAAGGCTGCTTGCAGAAAACTGGGGAGGAGGGAAACTGACCTGGAACATTATCAGGAAAAACAATACAATATTTTATTTCCTGGGGTTTACAGAGAAGCAAACGTGGCCCCTATTGGCCACCTGACTTACACTGATGAGCACCTGCAGTCCGCCAGGCCTGTGTCCCAGTGTTCTCCCACAGATTTCTCATGCCGATTCTTTGGGTGTTATAACAGAGTTGAATGTGGAAGTGGCTGCCATCACAACTCTGAAGGGAACATTTGTCCGAAGGTACAAAGAGGAGACTCTGAAGTCTGTGTGTTTTGAGATCCATGTTATAAGACCTTGCTGGGTCTGGGAGGCAGAGCTCAGACTGTGGAAGTACCACATTTGAGCCCAGTCCTTTCTCGGGCTGGCAGTGACTCTCATTTTATTCCCTCCATGATATTATGAGGAAACCAAGCAGCTGTGCCAGCTTCAGAAGCACTGGGCAGCCTGGGAGTGTCAATTCCACTTCACAATCAAGAGATGATTCTGGCTTGCGTAAGTTCCTGCTGCTTGGTCCTGTGCCACTCTCCATACAAGGAGAATACAAGAAACAGTCCTTCTATGTCCCTGGGTCCTCATGAGTCCACGGAAGGCTAGGAAAGAAGACTGGGGTCTGATGCCACTGTCCTCCATACCCCTAGAGGGCAGCATGAGATGCATGACTAGGTAGCTCCAGGCCTCACCTGGACCAAGGGGCCAGTCTGGAAGGCACTATCTGGAAACTGATCACTGAGAGGACTTCTCTCGGTCCCTGGAGCTCCCACCTTTACTTTCAAAGCCCTTTCACAGACAGGACTCTACCAAATCTGCCTTTTACTCAGCCACACCCCCCATCTTCCTGACCTCCTCTTTTACACGCTCACAGGTTGAGAACCTGGAAAACTTTGCACGTTAAAACCCCCTTGCTGTTGTCTTCCTTTCCAAACTCCTTTTCCCTCCAAGCCAGCATATGTCAGGACACTCTTCTCTTATGTTTGAGGGTTTTCCAGTAAGTTTGCACAGAGGGTAGGACAATTTGTACTGGGGAATTGGCTGGAATGACCCCCTTTCAGTCAGAGTCCACAGCCTGGAGAGACAAAGTGTGGCGTTCCTAGTTACAGAGGCTGCTGCATAGAATGTAAGCAATAAACTTTTTTTTGTGTTGTTTGTTTTGATCAACTTTTTTGGGCTCTGCTGAGAGGCCCATCCCCTCAGAAAAGCACGAAGCAGAAGAAATCCGCCCAAGGCTGCTGAGAGGGGGAAGACAAGAAGCACAGTGGCACAGCAACTGCTGGCTGGACTCCAGGGTCCAGTGCGTACTAACGTCCTGTAAACTTCCACATTCCACCACTTCCTTTGCAGATACCAGCAGTGGTTAGGCCACGTGCTTGCTAGGGAGCAGAGAGAACACTTGGAGGCTACACTTGCAATTAAAACGGACCTTGTTTACAAGAATCACATGAAACCCTTTACTCTGCAGAAGAAGACTGGGAGGAGGGAGACCTCAAGGGTGGAGCTCTACCTGCCACTCAGGAGCCCCACTGGCATTTGACCAGCAGTGGAGGCTGAAACCAGAGGGCCCGTGGCTCAGAAGACTTTCCAGTGCAACTTCACACAAGAAATGAGCAGAGAATGTCAACACAGATGTGTAACTATGATTTGTAATTTCCTCTGATGCTGAAAAACTCTCTTGAAATCATAGGATAGCAGAACTGGAAGACATCCTTGAGTGTATTTAATCCATCCTGTTCATTTAATGAATAGGGAAACTGAGGTCCAGAGACATAAACTGAATGGCCAGGGCTCACAGAGCAATAAGGAAGAGGATTAAAGGAAGTGATTTTTAAGGGCTTCTCTAACTCATGATTCAGTGGTTCTTATGATTCTTGGCTTCTAACCAAGGGTTCTTTTCCCCAAACTACAGCCATGCTCTGAAAACCATCAAATATCATTTGCCAAGTGCTTCCAGAATATAGAGCTGGCCTCAGCTCATGGTCACAACCAAGACCCACCAAATATTTTGTCACTTACTTTGTTTTACCGATGCTATTCTAAGACAATGGTTCTCAGTCTTGGTGGCACAATGGGAAGTTTTAAAAAATTCTGATGCTCAGAGATTACTCTATATCAATTGAATCAGAATCTTTGAAATTGATTCCTAAGAATTGGTATTTAAAAGAAGAATTCTCAGTTGATTCTAACATGGAACTGCGATTGTTAAGCAGTTAACCAGTCATGACTAATGATAATAATAATTCTACCTGCTCCCCTGTCCCATCTCCAGTCAACACAACTACATTCTCTGATCTTCCATACATGCTAGTTTATCATGTGTTCATTCATCTAGAATATGACATACCTAGGAAGTAGAGAATGGGTTTATGTTATATACTCCATTAGCTGGTGGAGAAAAGTGAAACCAAAGATGTCACCGAAAAACTCAATATAACAGTAGCTTATATGAACAAATTCAAGGATTTTGGGTCTTTCTTAATATATGGCTCTATATTGTCAAGGGTTGACTCTATACATAGGCAAGCACTTGAAGGCCTGATTTAAGAATCCTGAGAATAGTTCTGATTAAAACATTCTCCATTTCAGACTCTTATTAGATCCAGAAATCCATACCAATAGCCTTTGGAATACTAACCACAATAGTGACATTTCTGGATGACAACAATGAAGCCTCCATCAATCATTAAAACCATCTTTGCATCAGTTATCTCATTCCTAGCAGAGAGCTGTGTGATGAAGGAATGAGAGCCTGGCTGGATAAGTTGTGTTGTAGGTACATGACAGATCAGAGTATGGATGTCACCAAGGAATACTATAGCGTGGGGCCCTGACACTGAGATGGGGGGACAGATATCAGGTCTAAAAGGGGAAAGAGGGACTCAGCAGGGACACTTTGTCTCCAAGCACACTTAATAACTGGTCAAAGTCGGCATTTTTACTTTGGTGTTCTGTTCTCCTCTATATTGAGGTCCTCAAGTCCTGCTGGGGTCCACCATGCTGAATACCAACCTGCGTCCTGGAACAACACCAGTATCAACATTATAACAGTAACTACCATTAATGAGCGACAAATACCATTTATTTAAATCTGATTTAAAGAAGATAACATGTACAAAATGCTTGGCACAGTGTCTGCCAGCAAATAAACTTATTTTCTGATTGCAACTAAACTTATTTTACTGTGATCTCAACACACTGGAGCTAGGAACTGTAGCAAGTCTGTCCAATTTTTCCAATGCTCTATTGGCTTTGCCCTCACATAGGGAAGGAGGACAACATAGAAAACGTCCTCTTAGTAGTGAGGGTCTAAAATAAAATTTCCTTGGAAATTTTATTTTCAAAAGAGCAACCTGACAAGGGTTCAGGAAAGAACCACTAATTGTGCCTTTTCTGAGTCAGCATCAAGATAAAGAAGTACCTACAGGCAAACCTTTCCCAGTTCCAAATCATACCCCTGCCCAGCTTGCCCTGAGGATGGCTGGGAAACCACACATCTCCAGGTCCTTTCCTGAAGTCAATTCAGGGTCCCATGTCATCAGCTCCACCTCTTGGGAATAATAGCTCTGGGGTCTCCTCAGAGTCTCTGATTCTGTGTGACTAAGGAGTGAGCCTCTCAGATCTCCATGATAAACTTTGCTATTTGTTCTCAATCCTTCTTTCCATTTAGAGCAATCTTTTCCCACAAGCCTCAGAGGGCCCTCAAGTGAAACTGACATGCTGGATAAGTCTGAGGGACGTACTGCCAGTGAGACCTTCATGTGAAATACATTATGTGAATGACCTGGTGGGAGGAAACAGGGTCATGCATTCCCCATTCCTTCCTCATCTTAAGATGTGTCATGAGTT